TTAAACTCGTTTTTCACTCAGATGCAGAACTACAGTAGTCATTTCTGATCAAAGTATTGCGTTACATAAAGGCAGACCAATTTCCGAATTGGTCAGTTTTATGGGAATGTCTTTACAATATCTCCCTAAAGATGATGTTAGCCATTTTGGCAGAGCCAGACTGTGACCTTTGTGAAGAGAGAAGGTCATGACACTCAGCAAACAACTGAAGGGGGGAGAGGGTGACCTATTCAGTCTATCGCTATTTGAAGGTGTCCTACAGCTAACCAAATGGTGTGTGGATGTTTTTATTTAGTGTTTACTTTTTCAATATAAGATAGCAATGTCTAATGCTGTGTACCAAAATCTGATTAATTATACTGGAACAGAGAATAATGAAAGTGTTTACAAATTTCCAAATGATGGCTCAGAAAATGAGTTGGGGGGGGGAAAGAAGGTTGCTTGAGAAAATTTCGTTCAATCTAAATGTTGTTTGTAAATAGCATTTTTGCGATGACAAGATACACAAGCTGTCTTCAAGGGTAAAAATGGGAAGATATTGTGAATTCCAAGAAATAAAAGACTGTGCATATTTATCAGCAAATGACAAAAGTTAATTAATCTGAGGAAATGAAAACAAATAGTGACATCAAAATTAGAAAACTCGAATTAATAAGAAAATGTTAAATTCATGGTATATATAAAAATTCTGAATTATTTGTCATATTTTTGTCCAGCTCCAAGCACTTCAGAAAGCACATAAAGAAATAAATGCCAAAATATTTTATAAACCAGTTAATTTTATATAAAGAAAATGCGTAGAAACTTGGGGTTCAAAACAAATCCTTGCTGCGTTGAAGGTACAAGGGAAATATACAAAAAAATCTTCATTGCAGCAAATTGAAAAGGAAATTTTAATATACTACATGACCTAACATGGTGACAACTTGGGCATACACCTTTTCTGCGACGATACTTTGCAAGAATACAAACGCTGACTACTCACTAAGCTCCACCTACTAGGTACTTGTATCGCAATTTTGACGAAGACGCACAAATCTTTCTGCTTTCAGCCCTTGTGGATAAAGCTTCTGTCTTGTACTAGCTCAAGATCAGCAAAACTCATAATCCAGCACTCCCCGAGGGTACAACTGCTTTTAAGATGCCTCCTGCTATTAAATTTCAACCAGACATGAACACTGTCAGATGGTTTCAAATATATATTTAAAAAAAAAACTTCTGGTTATTTGGATGTCTGTATTCGAGATAACCGAGACTACAATACAACTGTTACACGAGGCCAGTACCTTGAAAATATCACTTCCAGCTTTCAAGACACTTTCAGCAACAGAATTGTAAAATTCCATGATAAAGAAGACTTAAACTTGAGTACTTCATTCGATGAGATCAAGGCAAGAAACAAGCTCACACGTGCATCTGTGATAAATGCGAAACTTGTTTAGTCGGTTTACATTGCCCTGAAGGCTCTCTATTCCGCCCCCAAATGTACCATACTTTTCCCCAATTACTGACTGGACCCACACTTGAAATGAAACGGACTCTAATAGTACACCCCTAATCGATCTTAACTAAAACCAGCCTAAAAAACACTTCAGACTAGCAATGGATTAGTTTTCCATAAGAAAACTATTAAACACATTAAAAACCAATAATCAATCATTTGTATTTGTAGCGAATAAATATTCGGCCTTGCAAAAATATGGAATCTACCTTGAATACCCTATGCACAAGACACAGAATATCACCCACAGCTAAAAGAACAACAGATCAATATTATTTTTCCTTTGTGGAAAAGAATAAAAAATGAATAATGCTGAGTTTATGTGCTTAATTTAAAAATCATTCCTAATTCAATCCAATACTTCAGTTTACTGAATGACTACTTAACTTGCAATTAGGTTGAATTTTTCTACGATAAATCCCCCCCCAAAACAATCAAAATACTCGTTAGAGGTCTTTAACTGCCTGCCGAATGAAATTAACCATTCATTTAAAGACCATAAGTAAAATGTAGTCAAAACTACCCAGCTCCACCACCTTAAAGCTGAAGTCTCAATTACCCATACTTTGTGTCCAACTTTAATCACTTGGCCTTGATGTAGCTCAAGAAATTAAATTGACTTCCATTCAGTTTGTTGTAACTTAAACGAACCTCACGAGACAAAGAAAAAGAGAGAAAAAAACTGCAACACTCCATTAGGGTTTTCTTTATGAAGGTGGATCATTTTGATTGCACATTTATTGATTTTATTTGCATTTATATATAATTTTCAAACATTTCATTCAAACATTTTTTTTTTTTTTTTTTTTTTTTTTTTTTTTTTCAATTTCAGATTTTCACACCAATCTGCATGATTATAAGTTACTGTATGACTGAATAAATTTATAAATATATATGCTAAAGTAATTAATATGCATGCAATAAACCTAAAATTCATTAATTTCACAATACATTTTATGAACAAATACTTTTGGCCAAATTAAAAATATTTCAATAATAGCATTTATGATTTTTAAACACTTTGAAATAAAAGTTGTCATAAATTTGCATTTTGCCTGCATTTGATGGAGCTAAAAAATTATGCTATTAAATTTAGTCTAAAGTGAAGTACAAGCCTGGCAACCAAGGACTGAATCAAAACCCAAAGTGTATCATCACAGTGGCATCAGATAAACCCACATACCATTTCCATTTCCTTCTTGCATATGAAAAGGATGCTGAAAATTTTATATGCCCCATAAAGCATTTTGCAAAATTTAAATTGATTAAACTTTTGCTTCTCAAATACAGTCAAAATTCTTTAATCCGGACTCATCGGGACTTCGGCGAATCCGGATTATAGATCATCAGTTTACAGCTGTAGATGAATGCAAAATTATAAAATTAAAAATTAAACCACCGAAATAAGAGCAGTTCTGATCTAAGCGTATCAAATTTACAAAGCTTAATATTTGGTTTCTTTATAAACTTCTTTCAACGCGCGCAGCATAACATACATATGCATACGAAATTAGAAATTGCAACCAAAAGCTATTTGATGTGTATTCGTAAATTTGATAATGCGATGAATTTATCAATCAAAGACAGAGTCATCGAGATGAATCGACATTAGTAAAAATCATAAAAGCATAAAAAAAACATCGCCCTGAAGATAGATGTGCTGACATATCAACTCGTTCACGTGCCATTTTTGCAGCATTCACTTTTTTTTAATGCCTTCGCACATACTTCGTTTTGTGATCCTTACCCTATTATAAATTATATCGAATTCTATTGCATAATCGAAAGTTCAAACTTACTTTTATAAATTGCTTCACAGTCCCTGAAAAGATAAAGCCGATCTATTCGAAGATTAAGACCACCAATCTGCAACATTAACTGATTGAAATTTAGCTTAGCTTATACTGTCCGTTATACATAACGCGCATTCATAACGTATTTTGTGCACGCGCATACGCATATTCGCAGCCGTAAAGGTCTTGCAGGCATATGTCAATGCGACGCATGAGCAGAAAGTTTGTAGCTTTTAGGTCCGGATTATGGGTGTCCGAATTAACAACTTTTGACTGTACTGAATCTACTTCTTTAAGATTTCATTAATTTATTTTAAATTTAAGAGAACTGCTACAGATTTGGCTGAATTTCATGATAAAATTTGTACTGCTTTAATAGACACCAAATCTGAAGATTTTGATGCTGAATAAGAGAAAAAATTAAATGTAGCCCACATTCATACTAAAGCATGTCTTTATAAACTTTCAAAATTTTTACGAATCATTGGCAATAAATACGGGAGAAAAAAACAAAATTTAAGATCCCCCCCCGCCAAATCTGGCTGAATTTAGCGGAGAACTGAAACATTGGCTCACCTTTTGGAGTCAATTCGGTAGAATTTGTGAAGATAAGTCAATTGGTTATCTCATCCAATGCATTGACAGTTAGCAGCAGAGCCCAAGAAATTGTAGACAACTATCCAACAGCTGCTGATAACTACGTAAAAAAAGGTTTGGATGCTGTATGATAAGAGTCACTTCTGAGGTCTTTAGAGTCAACTGGCATAACTACTGATTAGTATGCTGCCATGCTATTCTTATTTGTGGAAGTATGCATTCCCGAAAATTTGTTAAGAGTTAGTCCAGTGATCAATAAATAAAATTTAAAAAAAAAAAATACTCTTATGATGATAAACTAGCCCAATTATTTTCTTTCTTCACATGGAAGATGAAAAAATATTTTTTTTTTTTATCCAAAGCTGGTTTTAAATCAATTGAAATTTCAAATAAAAATCAAAGTACAAAAAAAAGTACAAAAAAGTACAAAAAAGACAAAATTTCTGTCCTGATGGATAATGATGTAGTGTTGAGTACTAAAGCTATGAAACCTGCTTGTCTATTTTGTGGCGAAACACACTATTCTCAAGACTGTTTTAAAGGCCAAAAAATTTCTTTTGAGGAAAATGAGGATATTTTAAGGAAAAAAAATGCCTGTTTTTGCATGTTTCAGAACTCTAAGGAAAAAGTAGATTATCAATCTATACATTCTGAATATTCAGATGGTTAAGCTAATTTTCTTTTTAGTTTAATTAAAAGAAGCATATGTTTTTGTTACTACTGTAACCTTGAACCAAGTTTTCTAATTTGAAATAAATTTATGTTTAAGTGATTTTGTGCAAATTCGCCACAGCAGAAATTTATAATGACAAGAAACAAAGGCCAATATTTTGGTCAAAGAGTAATTCTGATGATGATGATTTTTAAAAAATCCTCATCGCTATTCTGCAATTCGCAAACATAGACATAATTTCAATTTAATGTTACTTAAAATTTGAAAAGCATTTTTCTATAAGGCATTACTGATATATTTTACTAATAATGCTTTGATATTGTAATGTACTTAATTCCATTTGCTGGCATGTAGCTTTAAATGACATTTCAGTATATTCTACATAAAGTTACATAATCATTTTCACTAAATTTGCAATTATTATAATATACCAGAATTAATTATTTTATATTTATTGTAGCTGAAGGAAATATAACATATATTTTTACATTTATGAAATAAATAAAGTTACAGATGTCCTTGACAATATACAGAACTTAAAACTCTTCCTCTGTGACTAAATGTATAAAATGATGGTCTGTTTCCAACAGCTTCAAACGACCTATATAAAATAGAAAGTATATTAAATATGATTTACATATTTGAAGGTGAGTCTTAAGCAACTTTTAAGAAACATCACATAATTATAACTAATGAAAAATTTAGTACCATGTTCTTTAAAACTTAGACCATATTTAACATAATTTATACAGTTTCTTATGACTGAAATGCCATCTGAACAAATTAAGCATTTTATAAGGAATTAAAGTTTAAAATCAGATACATACTTGTGCCCAATTTCCCTAACAATATAACAGCATACTCTACATATAATTTTAAAAGCATGCTACAAGCAAAGATTAGAAAATGGAAAAAATATATTTCATTTTCAGATTAATGATTTTAAGAAATAATTATCTGCATTCTATTGATACAATGATGAATGCATCCTATTCCATTATCATTAATGCAACTCTGAAATTTAGCTATTTCAATATAGTACAGTAAAAAAGTATTTCACTTTGCAATTGACTCCTTATCACAGCCACTGAAGTAACAATATATTTATGTGGTTTTTAAAACTGTTTAAATCCTAAAAATACAAAGCAATCAGATCGTTTTACGAGATCACAAAGTCTTCTGTTAGGAAGATGAACTGTTAATCAACCAGCTAAGTACCTCATTTAACATGAGGATCTTTTCCCTACAAATGTATTGTTAATACCTTTAAAAAATTCATATTTTCTGGTATATAACAGTTATTGATAATCAGATACAAGAATTTGATAGCTAAGTGGTTTGTGTACATTTACAGAACTCTACCCCCCTCCAAAAAAAATCTGGACCAATTACTCATAACTACAAGAACTAAGATTTCCACTAATCAGAAACATAAAATTATTATTATTATTATTATTATTATTTTTCATTTTAAATGCTCTCTACAAGATTCACTCTTTGCAAGTGATAAGACATCAGTGGTCATAAAATGACTAGCCATTACTCAAGGAAGTAATGAGGAATTGCTAGTAGCTTACATATATTAAGTACAACGTGACATAAACTGCTAATATACCAACAGTTAATATAATAAAACTGCATAAGGCATTTGATCAGAGTATTTAGGAAATATATATATCCCAAAGAATCAGAAACAAACTAGCGAATACCTCCAGCAGAATTTTATCTCCTGGCCTATTTGTGTAGATAAAACATGCAATTTTGCTTTTCCTACACTTTTTTGGATTTCATGGAACAGATGAATGATTGAGATTTCACAGAAACATAAATGAATGAAGCTGTACTAAATTGGTTACAATCCTGCAGAAATATTGCACAAATTCCATTGCATCCATAATTCATGCAAGGGTCTGTAGGCAAAGCAAGCTGTACAGAACTCAATGAGCTAGTTTCAAGACATGAGTTACATATGCAACTTAACAAATTATCACTAAATTTCAGTTTAAGTTTAAAAACACAACTGATTGTTGTAATAGCCTTTTAACAGCAAACATTTTACACTAGACAGCCCCTCTAATGCACAAAATTTACCAAAGATAACTGGAATTCCTCATGATTATGAAAAATGTGCAATGCCCTTGCAGAGACTTGAACCTGGACCTCTTGAAAATGCACCAAGTGTGATGACTGTTACACCACGAAGGCATGTGAGAAGCAGTGAGAAACTATTCAAATAATTCTATCGTAACTCCTACCCCAGCCTCAGGAAAACTTTGGGCTTCAAAATCCAAAAACATTAGAAAATTTAATTGAATTAGCCACGAAGTTCCAAAATCAATGCATAGCAGAGAAAATCAAATGACAGGGTATGGTGAGAGGCCAAAAGAGCATGTTCTGCCTACTTCAGGCCAAGATGTACCATGACTATTAGTGATTTGATTCTGTGGCACTGAGTGCTTCTAACCAGTTGGCTTCTCTTGCCAGTTTTCTACAAACAAGTGTCTTTCCTGCATGTTTAAATTATTTTGTGAGCCATTAGGCTAATCTAGTAGATTTAAATTAGTTCAACATTATGTATTTAAGTTAAGACAGAAGTGTTTGACTTGTGCAAACCCAAGTTCGAACATTGTTATTTGTGTTTAAATAAAAGGACTATTTTACACCCTTCTTCTGACTTTGTCTGCAGTTTCAGACAAGAGGATTATTCTTCTGTAGTCTTTCTAGAACTCACAAGCTTATGCTACCAAAGAAAGTCAGACTCTACAATTTTATCTCAGCAACTCAATAATCAAGAAATATAATCGGTTGAACTGATTTTATTTCCTTTTATAATAAACAAAGTTACTCAGATATTACTATTTTATTTCTATTCCAACATTTGGTAATAACTGCAATTAAAAAGAATTTATATGCCAATCAATGGAAAACTATCCATAAAAATCACAGATCAAAGACAAATAATTGTTATGAAACTTCAAAAATAGATATGCAGTCATAGTTAATTTTTATGCATTCCATTAAAATTCTATTTGAGCACTCTTTTTGAATGACTTTATTTCCATATATAATTGTCGTCCTGATCAGTACACTGACTAGCACTGTTAGCAGCTGTATCATTAGGTTCAGGTTCAAATTCTAGATATGGCTCGGATATTTTTGCATTGCATTTGCAACGTAAGATCACTTTAAATATATGGCAAGTTTAAAGTCTTCTCAAGTGGTGGAACACCTTTGGATCTGTTCCCCAGAGGATTCTCCTTCAAAATTAGGATATCACTGTACAAAGTCATACTATCACCTATAAAGTTCCCAAGATGCACGCCACCAGATAGGATCTTGTATTCCTGAGCTCGATGTCACTGTCAAACAAATGAGACAATTTACAACACAAATCCAAAATAATATGCTTGTCAGTATATGGTTATAAATTAAGCAGCATTTCATAAAATGTCAGAAAACAATCTTAGGAAATCCCTATAGAGAAGTCCATTTCTTAAACTATCATAAATGTCGAGTGTTAGATTAAAATATTCTCTTCCAGAAGTATTAAAAAAGGTCACATTCATTATGTGTAGTTCCAATTTTGTAGTTTATAAATGCTCTGAATAGAACTTCACATATTTCCAAAATAAAATGTTTTGCCTTTTGGAACAAGCCTCAACTGCTAAAAATGTACTTCAGAAGGATGCATCAGGATCTAGTCACACATTAGAAAATCCAAGTCTACCAAGTTACAAATAACATTTACAGTGTAACTCAAATTTCATAAACTTGTGTGTATACATTACATGCAAATTCTTTCATGAATCAAAACTTAACAGTTTAAATTACTTGACATTAGGAAAGATAGAAGCAGCAGATGATATGAAAATTGCCAGCAAACAATGATTCACATAAATTATTAAAAAAAAAGCATACTTGTTCTCTAACTCTGTAGTAGCTCTTATTTCTTTAAAATCTCCAGCTATAAATGTTACTCCCCAAATTGTCACCAAAAGGCTCAATATAGTTTGTGCAATTATCTGTTAAAAAGTATTTTTATATATTACAGATTTTGAAAGTTACTAGAAATACATACACACACAAATGAACACATGAAAAGATTTACTTTCACTTAAACATATGAAATTTACTCTCAAACAAGCTAAATATAAATTTACACAAAAGCCACAGATTTAAAATATCAATTTGTCTACCAAAGGTAAAATCTCTATTTAATCAAATATTTTTAAAAAGGCAGCAATGTAATGACTATATTATGTTGGAATTTCCAGCTAATGGTTGCATCAAAATTTTGATATTTTCAGAAAATTCAAGACAGCGTATTTAACATCTTTTTCCCTTTATACTTATAGGAAAAATATATTTATGACATGCTTTGACTAAAGAAGCAAATTTATTTAATTACTGAAATTATCTGCATCTGCACTCTATAAAAACATGGACTGTGAACCTGCAAATTTTTTGCTCTAGATAACTCCTTACTTCTGAATGGCCATGCTCTTGTCTTATAATAATAATAAAATGTATGACTAATTAATTTTATAATTAAATAACATGTGCCCAAAGCTGCTGCATTCAAACCTTGAACTCGTAAGGTATATTTTAATTTAGTTGATTTTTCCTATTGTTAATCGTTTCAACCTACAACTCCCTACCAAAATGAGTTTTTAGAATCGCATTGAATGCAAATGAGTAAGAAACAGTATTAAAGGAAAGTTCAACTTACTTTGTGAGAGAGAGCTAGGAATGCTGAGTAGCGTGCATTTGCCTCTGGGTTAAAACCCTCTAAGCTACTGTTACATTCGGCTGTATGCTACATGCTTTTTGATAGTCGGCAGCTAGTTAAAAATTAAGGGCCAACTATGTTAAGAGTTGTGTTAGGTTCGACTAAATCTCTTAGATATACCGTAATTTCCGGAAGAAAGGCCGCATCAGCGTAAACTCGAGAAAAAATTAAAATTACACAGAAACGCCGCAATAGATTAAATTGCGCGTGACATCGTTGTGGGCCGTATAGATGCAAAATCTCAACCTATGTCCTGATATATGACATTCAGTTAAAAAATGCATGAAATGAAACCATAACTCAAAATATAAATTAAGTAAGAATGTTGAAAATATATTACATTCATGATATACTTATACCCCTAAAGAAGTCCATATTTGTAATACTCAGACTATATTAAAAAAAAAATGTTGCAACAACGAAATATTAAATTTTACTTACAAAAGGAATTACAGCAAATTATACATCATATGAAGCCATCAATATCTGATTCTTCACTATCTGAATTAAAAAGATTTAGTAAATCCTGATCTAAATCCAAGTCTTCCAGATCATCACATTCATCCTCTTGGTTTGCACTCTCTTTATCTAAGGATATAATTTCAGCTTCTTTGAACCCTACTATTATTGACGATGTTTTTACCGATTTCCACGCACTTCCTACCCACTTTGCAACTTCTTCATAAGATGCTCTACGCAATATACCACTTTTGGTATATGCATGCAATCCTTCACTCATCCAACACTCCCACCGCTTTCGGCATTCAGCTTTGAAGGATTTGTTACCCGACAAATCTAATGGTTGTAAGATTTTTTTCAAACCTTCAGGAATTATTGCTACGGTCATAGACAATTTTTGATATCTGGTTTTCACTGACTCAAGTACATGAGCACGCATCGAATCCATTGTCAATAACCCTTTTGGTTAGAAAAAAGATCCCTTACGACACTGCCAAACTTTTTTGTAGCCACTCATGCATGATTGTTTCGCACATCCAGCCGTTCTCGTTTGTGCAATAATTATGTCATTAGGAAAATTTCCCTTCGGAATAGTCTTTCGTTTAAAAATGACCATCGGCTTTAGCTTGTCACCATTTGTGACACAAGCTAACACACATGTAAATGACATTCTTTTATGCCCCGTCGTAAGCACAGATACAGTTTTTGCACCAGGTTTATCAACAGGTCTGTTTGCAGGAGAATACAAATCTAACAGCGTTTCATCCATATTTACTATCTGTGACCAAAGAAGTTTTTTTTTTTTTCCCCAATAATATCTATTACATATTTTAGAAGAGATGCCTTTTTATCCTGCCAGTCCATTGGTAATTGTTCCCGCCGTTGTTCTAGTACGCAGAGAAATATTTTTTCTTTTCATAAATCTGCTACACCACCAAGGCCCTCCTTTGAAATCATTTATGTTCATTTTTTTTGCTATAAATTTGGCTTGTAAGCGAATTTTTACAGTCGATTTTGCCATTCTCTTTCCTCGTTGCTCCTTTATCCAGTTCACAAGGTCATCCTCTAGATTCGGCCACCTTACAGTACCACTTCTTTTGGCCCGTTTCTGTTGTGGCACATTTTTAAGAAGTTCTTTCTCAGTTCTCCAACGTCGAATATATCTTGAACTCGTCCACTTCAAACTCTCGAGCTCCTGCTCGATTTCCAATTTGTTCAGCACGTGAAATTACATTAAGCTTAAAACCAGCAGTATAACTTCTGTGCCGTTTAGGTGCCATTTTCAAAAATTTTTCCGCTCCTTCTTACTTAAAAACTATCCAACATGTACTTGTACCCAAACTGATGGGATCTGTATCTGGCAGAATGCCAAGAAAAATCGATTCATGCTGAAGAGGAAATACGTCAGAGTTCGTTATTGCGAGGCAGGTGGAGTCGTGTCCGCCTTTGAAAAAAATTGCAGAAAAGGCAGGGGTGGGGAGAGGATGGGTCCTGGAAGATTCATCGAATGGCAGAGGAGAGAGACTATTCAAAATGATGAGAATGCTGATTTGAAAGGGGGAAGAATGTTATTGTTCTGAGATCCCATTTAGGGTGAATAAGGCATGTAGGTACGTTCAAGGAAAAGAATGTAAACAAAATAACGTTCGCAAAAAGCAACTGAGTAGTCTTTTGTGTGGGAACAACTGAGTGGCCTATGTACAATGACAAGACCATCCAAACTATGTACAATGACAATAGTATTCAAACTATGTACAATGAGATATTCAAACTATGCACAATGACTATCATAGAAAATATTTTATTTTTAGTACACCTAAACGCCGCATGGGTAGAAACGCCGCACCCGCTGAAAATTTAAGTTTTAAACACGTAATAGCAGCGGCGTTTCTCCCAGAAATTATGGTAGTTATTTCTTATTTCTTATTTATGAGTTTAAGCCCAAGTGGAGACTTTGTTGTAAGCCCAAAGAAAGGGTCGATTGTTCATCTTATTTTGAGTAAATAAAGGATAATTAACGCTGAGTTTATGATTATTTGAAGTAAACGATAATTCGCTTAACAGTTCACTAGGTTCCTTGGCATTTAATTTAGCAGAATAAAAGTGAGGAACTCTACAACTTCATTAGAGATACATTTTTCATTCAATCAGTTCAGTTCTCACTTTGCAGCAAGGCAAAAATACATAAAAACTCAAAACATCTTAAAACAAAACACGAGTTTAAGATGTAAGCATACTTAGGCTTTGTTAGGCTTAGTAGCACTTGAGCAACATTTAAATTGTTGATTAACTCAAGTCATAAAAACCTTAACCGGAATCAAGAACAACATAATTCAGTCACTTTTAAAGCCAAAAAAAAAAAATTTACCAACATTATAATAATAAAAAACTGAGCTCACCATGCAGGGTATCAGAGTGGGAGTATATATATCTGTATAAATATACTTTTGACGCAACTGATAGCAACCAAAAAAGGGATGCGCACAGCTACATGTTAGAGCAGTCCCATATGCAAAATTTCAACGTTTTGAAGCTACTCATATTTGAGTCATGCGAGATACATACATACATACGCACATACAGACGTCCCTAAAAAGTCTCTTCTGAATCCCTTTTAAATCCATTTTGGGAAAAAGGTCCTTTACTCTTGTGCAACATAAAATTCAACAGTAAAATCACAACATTTTTTGTACATACAGATGTCATTCAAAAAAAAAAAAAAAAAAAAAAAAAACTCATGCGAAACAAAATTCAACAGTAAAATCATATTTTCTGTACATACAGATGTCACGAGAAACAAATCGTTCAAACGGATTCAAGAGCAGTCAAAATGAAAATTTTCCTTGAAATAGGGTATCTGAAATTTTTCGTGAATACAATACTTCCTTTACTTCGCACTAGGAAGTAAAAAATTCTCATTCTACTTTTCACAAGAATAAAGGTTTTCTGCAGATCTATATCTTTCCTACTTTCAAAGAAGTATTCTAGGTTGGTTCATAGAAATTTTCAGTAGTGATCTTATTTAAAACTTAATTTTTGTTCTTTTTATGTAGTAATTTATTTTAATCTTGGAGATGTTTTTTTCACACAAAACTTACCCAAAATATAAAATACTTATGAGAGAAAGTTTGCCTCAGAGAAAAGTGTAAATAAAATACACTGATAAATTGTGACAATGGGGAGATAAAACTACTGAAAAGTAAAGTACATAAAGAAATCTGTAATATTCTGGGACAAAAATATATTTTTGAAAATGTTTAAAAACAGCTTTAAGAAATTTATATTAGGTGAAACTGCATAAATGTCTAAAAAACAAGACTTTTCATAAGATCATAGCACATAAATCCAATCACAAAAATCTCACTCCCTCATTTAAAAACATGTATGCTGTTCCTCATAAATGCTGTTCATTATAAATGCTGTTCATTACAGTGGTATGATGAATTAACTGGATCGTAGCTTTGTGAAAGAGCCAATATGGCCTACTGGCTAAAATGTTTGGAGACACCTGTTCTAAAGCAAGTCTCTTTCTTTCAAATGCCAAAAATCGTTTGAGAAAATATTATTAAACATGCCAACACAAACTGTTTGTGCAGATATTTGCAGTGGTGGGAAACTTTTGTTAAAACCCAATATATAAAACAGAACTTAAATTCCTATCATCTGCATTCAGTAAAATATTAATAAAACAGATACTTTTTGATTATTTGCACCTCCACTGGAAAATCACAGAAAAGTATTGATGAAGCAATGCATTATGTCATCAAAAAGTAT